ACATAAACGGCATTTCTCTTGTTGGACTTCCTCTGTCGGCTGCTCAGGCAAATATCAAAAATGTGAAGTATGTCTTATGATTTAGTTTTCACCAACAGTTTCATTAGTATCGATTTTTAACTTTCTATTATAGAACTGCTACTGCTGTTCGACTCACTGTGGTCTCTACACCTCCAGTTGTAGAGGTAAGGATACGGCGGCCTGACACTAAATATCAGCTAGGATTTTCGGTTCAAAATGGAGTAATCTGCTCGCTACTACGAGGTAGGTTAGAATGCTGCTGTTCGCTGCGCAGCTTTATAACACTATGATCCCACATTATTTAGGATTGACGGGGTTTTGTTTCAATCACTTCATCATTTATGATAGCTTTGAGGATTGAAATAAAAACCTATCTCATTTCTCTGATAGTAATATTTGTCAACTTTTGAACTTCTAATTGTTCCAACTTACCAGTTGATTACAGAAACGTTTACCTTCTATATGTGGTTAGACATGTGCAGTAATGAAATCATTGTTCAAAAGATTCAGCTGAGCAGTTTTTAGATGGAAATCGTCATAAATGATGTTAGATTGTTCCAAAATCTACCCATTTTTTAGCTGATCAGTAACTCAATTTTTGTACATTATGAATCTCCCTTTAAAAAATTCAGTTCATGTGCTTTCCTTTAGGTGGGATTGCTGAGCGAGGAGGAATTCGCGTCGGTCACCGAATTATTGAAATCAACAACCAATCGGTAGTAGCAGTGGCACACGATAAAATAGTGAACATGCTAGCAACAGCTATAGGAGAAATCCACATGAAGACTATGCCGACGAGCATGTTCCGATTGCTTACTGGTCAGGACACCCCACAGTACATCTAAAATTACGCTGAGATCTCACCGAACTACCCGCGAACACTTGCATATTATCATGTTCCTTTTCTCAATATCGATCGCTTTGTTAACCAGCTCTTTGCAATTAATCAATTTAGTCCAGTACTAGCATGTTTTCACAGAGCCTTTCATCTTCTGCTTTTCATTTATAGTGCTCCCATGTGCTCACACTCATCTATCCAATCATCGTGCCATCTTGGCTTTCCTATTCATCCACGGATAGTTCGATGAGATGGTCCTGTTGCTCATACTTGCCCTTTTGAGTCTTTGCTGTGATATCTATCCCCTTAAAATTGAGTTTCATTCTTCTCTGTGTTTTTCATGCAATCATTCTAGTCGTTTATTTTAAATTTGTATTATTGAAGTTTTCTTCTTTTCGACACAATTGCTATCTTTTGAATGTGCGCAGTTTTTTTGGTCTTAAAAATAATAGACTTAATTGTTCGGGCCCTTATTACTGTTCATTGATCAGCTGTTATGTTGCCATGTTGTTGTCTTCGTTCACTGATTCCTATACTTTCAATTATGTAAATACATTGCATACAATGTTCAAATGTTTGTCAACAAAGCGAATAGGAATGCGTTTACTGCTTCTATAAACGTGGAAATAGAATTATTACATAAAAATAAGTGATAGGATCCGAAATTTTAGCTGTATCTTCGACCTTCACGCATTCAATATCGCGTCCTTTGCAACTTGTTTCGGTGGGGCGATATTGTGCGACTTTTCAACCTAAATGGAAATTAATGTTTTTTAATCGAATGACTGGGAAGTATCAGAAGAGGTACATTCTGTAATTCTAGAGAGACATCAGTAATTTGATGAGGCTGGTCTCTAATAA